TGGAAACGAGCCAAATGTTCATTAGTGAATGAAGGGATAAACAAATGTGGTCCATCCAATAAGATTCAATGGAATATTATTCAGCCATTAAAAGGAATGAAGTGCTGATACGTGCTACAATGTGGATGAACCTCAAAAACCCTATGCTAAGTGAAAGCGGCCAGACACAAAAGGTCACATATTGTATGATTCCACTTATACAAAACCTCCAGAATAGGTAAATCCATAGAGACCGAAAGCAGATTAGTGGTTGCCAGGGGCTGAGGGAGGGGTCATGGGGCGTGACTGCTTAATGGGTGCAGAGTTTTGTTTTGGGGGTAATGAAAATGCTTTTGAACTTGATAGAGGGGATGGTTGCACAACGCTGAGACTGCGCCGAATGCCCTTGAGTTGTACACTTTAACGTGGTTGATTTTCATCTCAGTTAAAACTTTTAAAGAAAGAAAAGAGCATGTTCGTTTCTTTTTTCTATCAAGCAAGATAAATGTATTCGGACCAACTTCAATTCAAAGGAAAGCTCTGTTGGAAAGACACCAAGGTTCCTCTGAGATTCTAGGAAAGAACTGGGCAGCCAAGCTGGGGAGAGCCAGCAGCAGGATGAATTCAGTCCTCATTCCGGGCTCAATCACATCCTTCCTCTAATCACGTCTGTCCCTGGGAGAAAGAGAATCTGATCGGCCAAGCTGTGTCCTGTGCCTCTGTGTCCTCCAGGGTTTGGGACCAGCAGCCCCACTAAACCTATGGATCGGGGAAGGGGTGATTGAGAAAGATGCTATGGGAACCAGACAAAGGGAAGAAGGGATACTAGACAGAACAAGACATCTGGTATCCACCACAAACACCTCTCAACTCACACTTTCTTTCAACAGCATCTGTCCGGTCAGTACTCACTGAGCATCTCCCCAGCTGGCACTGGCTAGGCACTGGGGAAAGAAATGCCCTCCTGGAGCTTATACTCATGAGGAAAGATAGACACTGGATTTATGCCAGTGGGCTGAGAGCTGTGCAGGGGAGTACAGGGGACGCCTGGGAGGCTTTACAATCCAGACAGAGGTGGGAGCATCCCACCCTCGTTAGGGCTCCATGGCTACCTGGAGTCCCCTCTGTCTTACCGCCCATCACGTTGATGTCACTGCCTCTTTGTCTACCTCGATCATTGAACTGTGAGCCCTGAGCCGTGTGGAGCTCAGAACTGACACCGGGGCTAAGGCTTGAAGAAAAGGAGGGAAGGGGAGAGTGAGGGCACAATGATGTGCTGGCTACACTAGATTTTAATTTATGTCCTGCTTCCCGCTTGATAAAGGGTCTTTAAAGCTAACTTTTATTGTGGCCGCCTTGGCCCCACGCTGGCGTAGGGAGTGAGACAACTTTCTTGCAGGGTGACAGGTGATGACACTGCCCTTACACTAAATCATAGCAGGGGCTGGGCCTGTCATCTGCCGGAGCCCTCTGCTTCCAACAGGGCAACGGCCGCACGACTGACCCCAGATGGTGGCTGCTTCCATGTCCAAAGTCCTTCTCTCTGGGAGGTCTGTTTTCATATCTTATCACCCTGGCCACCAAGACATTGTTCTTGGCTCAAAACCAAGATGTTGGCAGTGGCTGTCTTTGTGTTGAGGGATCCTGGGTAGCTTTTTCTCTTTTGCTTATTTGAATTTTCTCTTTTTTTATTTAAATGAAAGGAGGGTGAAGCACTTACAGAATGAAGAAAAGTTAACTGGTTATTTTCAAAGTGAATCCTTTCTCATTCCTGTATATAAGCTCATCTTCTCTTCTTTGATCTCCTCTATGTCAGAAAAGTCATACCACCTCCACCTACCCCCAGACTGTAGAACCACAAGGCATGAACCTATCTGTTTTACAGATGGAGTTCAGAGAAGCTGAGTGACAGGCCCAACATCCCAAGGTCATAAATGACAGAGCGGCCAAGTCCAACCTATGTCTGTCTGACTTCAAAACCCATATTGCCTTTATATCACTGCACTTTGTGTTAAACACGGGAAGAAGTATTTATTCGGCTAGATTGACATGCCCTTGGCCAAGCCTCAGCCCACTTCTCGCCCCTTTCTTCTACCGTCTCACCTACTAACTGAAAAATTCACATGGTCCCATAAGTCAGGAAAACTCCTACCCCTACTACTAATGTTACTACTTCTGTTGGTAATAGCAATTCCCACTTTGGAAGAGCTTAGTGTGTATCTAACACTGTGTTAAGCCTTAAATACTCTGCCTGCGTGGACTCATTTAATTCTCGTAAAAATGCTATGAATTAGGTGGTATTTTATCCCATTTTATAGATGAGGAAACTAAGGCTTAGAAAGATGAAATACCGGGCTCCCTTGGTGGCTCAGTGGTTAAGAATCCACCTGCCAATGCAGGGGACACAGGCTCGAGCCCTGGTCCGGGAAGATCCCACATGCCGCGGAGCAACTAAGCCCGTGCGCCACAACTACTGAGCCCGCGTGCCACAACTAGTGAAGCCCACATGTCTAGAGCCCGTGCTCTGCAGCAAGAGAAGTCACCGCAATGAGAAGCCCGTGCACTGCAACAAAGAGTAGATCCAGGTCACTGCGACCAGAGAAAGCCCGCGTGCAGCAGCAAAGACCCGACACAGCCAAAAATAAATAAATAAAATAAACAAATAAATTAAAAAAAAAAAAGGCTCAAGGCCAGGGAAATTCCCTGGCTGTCCAGTGGTTAGAACTCTGAGGTTTCACTGCCAAGGGCACGAGTTCAATCCCTGTTCAGGGAACTAACAACAACAAAAAGAAAAAAAAAAGAAAGGAAGAAAGGTGAAATACCTTGTCCAAATGTCCAAAGTGACAGAGCAGGTAAGTAGCCAGGTCAGAACTCAGCCCCGGGTCCAGTCTCACTCCAGGGCAGGAGCATCGAGTTGTTAACTACAGTGCTAGTGTTCAAAGGATGTGATTCAGCAGAGGAAGAACCAAGTAAATGGGGAAGGTGGAAAGGTCTGGAATATGGTCCTCGATTCTTCCTTTCACTGAAAAAAACAAGAAGAAAAATGGAGCTCCTGGCACTGAGCTTCTGCTACCTCCCCAACAGCAGATCAGTTGCAGCCTGAACTCAAGTTTCACCCACACAAGAGTATGCTGTTGCAATCTGGGTTAGGATGGAGGGTGGGTCGCTCTCCCTCTCCACCAGGCAAATATGAAATGATATATTTGCATTGAAAATAAAAGTCCAGATATACAATACCAGCCTTTGTCCCCCACCTTGCCTTTCATTTTCTTTGTTTTTATTTCCTTTAAGGCTACAAAAGGATAAGAAAATTTTGGCAAAGTGGTTGCCAGCTTTTAGCATCCACCTGCTAAATTGCCCCACACCCCCAAGGTACCTCGTCTGGTTCTCTAGCAGGTGTCACTTGCAGCTGTAGCAGATTTCACCCAGCAAGGGACAGATGGAGGGGATACAGCCACCACAGCGGGATAGATAATTTTTTTAATACATGATCAGAGCTTCATCAAGGCTTGGTAAGGAAATGTGGCATTGATGCAAAGTATGCCAACTTAGCAGGTGTCTGCTCTGCTGTATTGTATGAGCAATAGCGGGATTCCTTTTGGTGGGGAGGGGGAATGGTTGGCATCCATCCAATGGTAGCACAGGCAGATCATTCTGAGTCATTTTGAAGTAACTACAGTAGAGTTTACTTGTGGGAAATGACATAGGAGCCTTAAGACCTGGGGTGCACAAGTCACACATTCTCTCTGAGATTCACCTTCCTCGTCGTTAAAATGAGGGTCTGGTAGGGTCCACTAGAGCTCACCAAAGATTCACAGCCTTCCCTACATTTCCCAGCCACCCCCCCCCACCCCATTGGTGGGGTCATGTGACTACCTCTCACTTCTGGCACAAAAGGGAAGGCATGTGTCACTCTCTTGCCTGAGACAGGTAAGCAGACAAGCTTGGAGGCCATAGATGGCCAATGGCATCATTACAAGATCTGCCTGGACCACATCAGGCGTTACATGGGTTTGTCTGTTGTTACAGCAAAAACCAAACTATGAACTACCGTAAGGATTATAGGTAAGGTAGATAAAGCATCTAGCACATAGTAAATGCTCCATCATGAGCTGGCTGCAGCTATAGGAGCCTCTACAAGCAGAGGTCCTAAAGCAAACCAGACAGCATTAGATGATTTTTCTCTCCTACAGCATCTTATTCCAAATAAGATGGAATAAGATTTTGGCATCTTAATGCCAAATCTTTCAGGAACTCGATTTGAGAATCTTGAGATACAAGATCAAAGGTAAAGGTCACAGCTGTCCCTGAAAAATGACTCTTTTCATTTAATCTTCTGCTTCATGGAAAGCTTTTTCCTGGGTTAGTATTTCCGGAGAGAGTGACTCAGGCAATATTTGATCTTCAAGGTGCCACGCTCCTCCCCTCTACCCCTTCTCAGCAGTGGGAAGAGTAAGGGCTGTTGGGTCACACAGACTTGGGTTTGAAACCTAGATCCCCTACGTGCCCTTTGTGTCCTTGGGAAAGTTTTGAAACTTTTCCAAGGTTATCTATCAAAAGGTGATTATAACACCTGCTGTATTAGGCAAGATTTTCCAGGGAAACAGAACCAATGGTATATTCCAAGAACGTAAGACATATATGATATACTTATGATATCTATAGATATATTTATAGGTATCTATATCTATCTACCTATCTAGGGAGATGTTAAGGAATTGTCTTATGCAATTGTAGGGACTGACATGTCCAAAATTTATGCCGCAAGCCAGCAAACTGGAGATTCAGGTAAGAGTTGATATCGTGGTCCTGAGTCCGCAGCCTGGAAACTCACGCAGCATTTGGCTGTTGCGATCTGTAGACAGAATTCCTTTTTCCTCAGGAAACCGCAGTCTTTTCTCTTAAAGCCTTCAACTGATTGGATGAGGACCACCCACATCATGGAGGGTCATCTGCTTTACCTAAAGTCCATTGATTGTAGATGTTAATTACATCCAAAAAAATACCTTCACAGCAACATGTCGACTAGTATTTGACCAAACCAAGTCATTGATGACTCCATTTATTACTATAAAACTTTTTCAACCAAAAAGGCACTAAGTACAATTGATATAAAAAGTGATATTTTGACATTACCATTTTAAGCAAAGACAATTTTCTCCACACAATTCTCCAGCCAGAGAATGTCATGCGAAACAAATTTGAACCTCAGGCCACATTTGGGAACATATACCAAGCAAGAGGGATGGAGAGGGAGCATCTCCTGTAATCCCCCAGTGCAACTGTACAATTTTTGTGTATTTCAAAGCACTGCGGCGTTTTGCCTTTATTTTGCCCCTGAGGTATTTTTTGTGTGTTATATCTTTATTTGAATTGAAGTTTGAGTGAAAGGTAATCATGAGTGCCAAGATGATTGAAAACTTGGTAAAGAAACTGGTTAGAAAGAAGAACTTTCTGAAAAATGGCTCTCTCCTGCCTGTTTTCCATCAACCATCATCTACTGTCACCACCTTCTATTAGGCCATCCCTTGGGAAGAACTGAAAACTTTTTCTACATTATGTTTTATGTACAAACCGCATTTATTTACTTTCAAGTTGGTGCTGATTATGTAATTCCCTTTCTTTGTTCAACTGCAGCGGTTCAGCAAGGGATAGGTACAGGCAGGCAGGCCCAGGAATCTGCACTGTTATAAGCTCCTCATAGAATTCTCGAAGGAAAATGAATGTTTGAGAACCACTGCCTTAAGGTATAATAAGAGAACACTCATCCAGGTGGTTTGTTCTCTGTCACGTTTCCCAGTCCTTTCCTTTTCAACTGCTTGTGTTTGCAGAGGAAAGACAAATTAATATTATTTTCATGAGCATATTATCATTGTGAGGCCAAAACTAAGATTTTTTTAAACCACATAACCAAATTAAATTCTTTTTTCTCAATTATCCACTTGTTCACTCTTTCCAATAAAACAGTTGATTCCAAGCAGACTACAAATGGGACAATTTCTGGATATTCAGATTGAAGACATTCATCAGAGGCTCTCCTGAATGGTTGTCAAATTTTGGCAAAACCTAGGTCAGAGAAAGGAGGAGAGAAATGCATAATCCACCCACATACATGAGAAAATGCAGTATCTGCTTGAATTACTGCATGACCACACGCACACACACACACGCACGCACACACACACACGCACACACACACACACACACACACACACACACAACTACCTTGAATAATCAAAACTAGGACAGTGGTGCCCCAGCTCTTTTTCCTCCTACTAGTTCTCAGTTCTCTCCCCTTCCTGGGACAGGCTACAGAGGTTTTTGTTCCTAATCCCAGCTTGGTACTTAGTTAACTACTATTTTGTATTGTCTTTTTTCTCTCCCCCCAAAACAAGTGCGTTTTCCCCATACTTCTATTCTCTAAAGTTGATTCGTTCATTCACCAACTGTATAAATATATATTTCTTCATGGAGAAGTAGAGAAAAGAGATGTTGCCCATTTTGCTACTATGATGTCATAAATGCAAAATGGACACTTCTTATGCTAGCTAACATGTTATTGGCGACAAGGGGTACCTCTGATGACCTTCATTTGAAAGGGACCTTCAAACCAATGGTGAGCAGTATAGACAGTCCCCAAACTTGAAGACTTTATATTTAACCAAGAAGGTGGTTGAGTAAGAATTGCATGATGGTATGAAAAGGGATGTGATTTGAGAACTATAAATTGCTAAAGAGTAGGTATCTTATCTAATCTAACTACGTGCAACGCCGGACCGGTGTGGGAGGGCTGCTCCGTAATGTTCGTTGAACTGAATTCAGTGCTTGTCTGCAATTCCCGTAGTTTCTCCTCCTTGATTATTGGAGGAGACCTATGAGTCGCTCTTGTTAGCAACCATGTCTTTGGCTATTGGTTTCTGGATATGTTTATATATGAGGAAGAGGGTTGCAAAATCTTTAATGTACAGGAGCAGAGCTCTTGGCTCTAAAGGAAGTACTTTAAGAAAAGAGACAGCAAATACATTCAATTCAATGAATATTTATGGAGTACCTACTATTTTCAAGGCATTGGATACAGAAATGAAGTCAATAGTCCTTGTTTTCACAGATCCTGAATGCAAGAGTGTGTGTATATGAGGTCGGTGGGCAGGAAACAGGAAAAAATGGAGAGGAAACGAGAGGAAAACAAGTTGAAGTATGTACACAAGTAATCAAAGAAGTAATCTTTTTCCATAAATGAGGCTGTAGCTGAGAGCGTTTAAGATGGAAATATCATCCTGGTCTTGATCTAATTTCTTTTAAGAGGAGTACAGAACAGTGGGAGATGCCCTTAAAGAAACAGGTGACACAACACGTGCAGGTCAGATACTGGCTTATCCAGACTGCCTTCCCTGCCCACCCTCCTTACCTCTCCTGGTCTAGCCAAACATCATTCCTGATGATCCCATAGCCTCTGTGCTAACTCTGTACTTGCACTTATCGCATTCAAAATGTAATTTCACCTTGCCCTTTACGTGTCCCTCTAATTAGACTCTGAAATCTCGAGGCCTTGGCATTGTAACCCTGGCACTTAATGACAGTGTCTGACCCTTAGCAGGGACTCCATAAATGTCTGCTGAGCGTTACTGGACGCCCAGCGCAGCACGGAGCATCGTAAACTCTCAATAGAGATTTAGTAGGCTAAGCGATGCCACTTAAGAGATCAAGGGGTAAAGGCTTTACAAACCATCATTCCAAGACTTTCATAGTTAATGTGCAAAGAATTTCCTGGAGAGGTTATTAATAATAAAAACCTCCTCAGAAATTTGGATTCAGAAGGTCTGGAATCAGGATCCATTCCTCTGCTTTTCAAACAAGCTCCCCAGTTGATTCTAGAGCAAATGTCCCCATGCCGTGCTTTGAGAAACTCCGCCCTCATTAAGCTTCCTAAAAAGATGACACTTGTCGCTCTGATTAATTGTACATATTCATCTTACAACCCAAAGAAAACGGATTTCTACTATTCTCTCCATCTGACACTACTGAAAGTTGGGTTACAAACTGACTCTTTGGATGAAAGTCTTTTGTTCAGACATTATAGGTTAGTCCAGTCCTGACCGGTGCAACATCTCAGCCCAAAAAGCTGAGCACACGTGCGAATCTGTGGTTAACCTCGTGTGAGATACGCCTGTGCACAGCCCCGTAGCTAGAGGGAGAGAAGTGGGTATCTTAGAAAAGTTTTAGACAAATATCATTAATTTATAAGAACTAAAGAATAAGGATTTCTCGGGTGACCTCAGGACCCAATTTTCTAACTATCAGGTTAAATAAAACTTAGCTGTATCAGATGCTCGCCCCTAGAAACCTGGAAGGCCAGGAAAGGAAGGGAAACATCGCTCAGCGTGACAGTAAATCAATGTTGGCTGGAGTCCAAAACAAAATAAGTCTTCACTAAGCCACACTGTGATTTCAGAATTAACAGAAAAATTTCATAAATAGGGCAACAGGGTGTCAAGAGAGAAGGCCAGTAAACTAATTTGAATTACAGACCTCAGCCTCCAAACTCTGGGAGTCGACCTCTGGCAGCCATATTAAAGTGAGGGTAATTAACACCATCCATCTTGCCAGGGGATGGCGCTTTGCAGGCCTTTTGAGATTCTGTGAGCACCTCACCCAGACCCCAGTCACCCTTCGAAATATGCTGAACTATGGCAGTCAGCATATAGGGGGATCGTTAAGTGGGTGGGTGAGAGATGGTGGAGAAATCACAGTTTGTAACTGAGATCATTTCACGGGCAGTTTGCCAGCTCTTTGGGAAACTCTAAGATAAAAGCCTTTTAATATGGGCTATTTATGAAGTACAGTGCTATGAATCTATAAGAGCCCTTTAAAAACTACTTAAAAATTGAAAATTCATATTATTTCCTACGTCTTGCTGCCTTAAAAACTAATTCTATCTATTTTGGTGTAGGAATTTAGGAGACAGGTTAATATGACTTATCAGATCTTAGCAGGAATAGAAAGTATCCTTCAGGACAAATAATCAGGACCCTTCTTGTACATAGTTACTGCCATCCATTACTCAGCGGAAAGCATTCTCAGACATCAGACTGTGGTCGTCTTTGTACAGATGATGCTAACACAGGCGACACTTACCAAGTGCAGGTGGTGGCTTTGAAACAGTTGGCAAGGCTGAGAAGGAATGACTTGACGACATCTTGGAGGAGAAAGAGAAAGTATTTTTAAATGCCCAAAACTGGAATGAAATACAGGAATCAGAGCAGTAATTTGGGAAACGGTTACTTACAAGCAATGGTTATCACCAAGGAGCATGTGAAGACACTGGCTATGATTCCTCCCAGAAACCATCTGAAACAGCAGGATTGCTCAGGCTTAGCAAACTAATTGTATATTTCCAACACATGAGATGTTCTTTTAGATTTACCATAGATGGATGATTTTAGGATTTACTATAAAACTACAGTAATAGAGATAGTGCAGTATTGGCAAGAGGATAGAGATATAGATCAACGGAAAAGAATAGAAATTCCAGAAATAGACCCATACAGATACAAGTTAAGTGATTTTTTAACAGAGGTGCAAAAGCAATGCAATGGAAAAAGGAGAGTCTTTTCAAAAAATGGTGTCAAAATAATTGTTTAGACATATGCAGAAAAACGAACCTATACAAAGACTTCACACCTTAACACAAAATTTAACTCAAAATGAGTCATAGACTGAAATGTAAACCACAAAAGTATAAAACTTCTAGAAAAAAGAAAAAGGAGAAACTTTGTATGCCTACTGCTTCATAACCTTGACAAAAGAGGGTGTTAAACTTTTGGGTTTTTGTCAATCTGATGGATGATTGTATCACACAGTGGATTTTCTTCTTTTTGAAGAATAGTATTTTTATAGCTTTTGTGCTCAAAATATGAATATTGAAAGAGATTGCAAATAAATACAAAGACAAAAGGAAAATGTCACCAAAGAACTCCCACCACCCTGAAGCATTCACTATTAAATTCTGACAAATATCTTCTCAGACATCTCTTCATAGGCATTTTTAAAACTTTTAAAAATTGAGCTTTAGCAAATGTACACTAAAGCACATAAAGTGCACATTTTGGGTTTTTTAAAAATATAAACCCTCGTAATCACCCAAAGCAAGAAATAAAATATTTCCAGCACCTCATAAGGTTTCCTTTGTTGATCTTTCCCACTTTATCCCCCCAAATTAACCACTATTCTTACATCTATAGTAATTGATTGGTCTTGCCTTTTCTTGACAATCATATAGACTCTGTTGTCATCTTTCACTTATATAATATCCGTGAGGTTCATCCATGCTGTTGCCCATAGGAATAGTTCTTTTTTAAAAAAACAATTATTTACTTAACTACACTTTTTACTTTAGAATAACTTTAGATATACAGAGAAATTGCAAAAAAGAATACAAAGGGTTCTCACATACCCCACGTCCATTTCCTCTGTTATTAGCATCTTACAGTACATGGTACCTTTGCCATAATTATAAGGAACCAACATCGGTGCATCACTAATAACTCAACTCCACACTTCATTTGAACTTTACAGTTTTTCCCTAATTGATCCATTTTCCAGCATCCCACGTAGGATATCACATGACCTTTAGTCATTATGTCTCCTTAGGTTCCTTTGGGCTGTGACGATCTCTCAGACTCTCCTTGGTTTTGATGACCTTGACGGTTTTGAGGAGTACTGGTCAGATAATGTGGAGAGTGTCCCTCAAGTTGGGTTTTTTTCATGGTTAGACTGGGGTTCAGAAGACCCTAGAGGTGGTGTGCCATTCTCATCATGTCAAGGGTACATGCCATCAACATTACTCATCCCTTTTGATGTTGACCTTCATCATCTGAGGTACCATTTGTCAGTTTTCTCAACTGAAAAGTTTCCTTTTCCCCCTCTTTCCAAACACTACTGCTTGGAAGCAAGTTTCCAAAGGTAGCTCAAACTCAAGTGATGGGGAGTCAATTTCTCCTCTTAAGGGAGGAGTTTCTACAGAAATTAACCTAAGAGGAACACTTTATTAATAGTCCTGTGAAATAAAGAAAAGTTTCCATGATCAGTAAAGTCTGGGAAAAGCTAAGTTAAATAAAGCTAAACAGGTTTCTTCACCACATTATTTCACTGAGACTTTATTATGCTAATACACATTGTGATCCTCCAACTTGGGATATATAATGCAGAATTTTGCAAATGTATTTTTAACTACAGGACTCCCCCCAAGCCCTTTGTGCTCTTCTGGTTCCATTATGATCTAAAAATACTTCTCAAACCTCATAATTATCTGGGAAGCTGTTTTAAAGTACGGATTCTCACTCGATCTAAATTGGTATCTCAAGGGATGGGATCCAGGGCTTCGTATTTAAAAATACAACTCCCCCAAGTGGTCCATGGGATGTGAGATACTTGATCGTCAACAGGAGGAACTTGAGAGGAAGCAGCACTTAGTGACTGGAGTTCAAGGACCACAAAGACCCCAGGAGGTACCATTCATCCCTGTTTCATTGTTTCAACAAATATCGATGAGGCCCTAGCACAGTGTCTCTGTTCTCAAGGAGCTTGCAATCTTGTAGGGAAAGACGGATCATTAGCATTTAAACAAGTGAACACATAATAGGTCAGGTGGTGATAAAGGCTCCGAAGAAAAGCCAAGTGAGATGTGTGTGATAGAGAATGGTATTCTATTTATACAGGGTTGTCAGGGAAGGGCTCTCTGACAATGTTTGTGACATTTGGACAGATTCCAGAAAGAATTAAGGGCACAAGTTATTGTTTCTCCAGAAAAAAAAGACTGTAGTAGGCAGAATAAATAGCAAGTGCAAAGGCCCTGAGGCACAGGTGGGTTTAGCACAGATGGGACTTGATCACCACCCTGGAGACTTGGGCAAGAAAAGAATAGGAAGGACACGCTGGACAGAGGGTAGAACAGAAACGTGCCTATAACCAGGCAAGAGCGTTATGTCCTCTGAGATGCTGAGGAGACGTTTTATGTGAGGATATAAAAATATAATGGGAAAGATGGAGCCCCAGTGGGACTCGATTGTGGGGACTTCACATGCCCTTGAACTCCAAGTAGGGTTACTTAGACTGTATCTGTAACAGGGAGTCACTGAGGATTTAAACAAAGGATAATGCATGGTAAAAATCCAACTTCTAGCAAGATCCACTGCCTTTGGTATGTCTTGTGAGATAATGGGAGGAGGGAGGTGATAGATAAAAAGGCAATGGACAGACAAATGAACAGATCTTAACCACAGAGCTACCTAAAATGCTTTGCAGAACAAGGTAAGGAAATCATCAATCAATTACAGCTTCATTAATTATGAAACACAACCACATAAACATAAAATCTGAATTACCTTGCACAGGCAGAGATAATTAAGCATGCAGCAAACAGAGTTGCTTGAAAGGAGACCTCTCGTAACAAACTGGTTTCTAATAGGAAAAATAAAAAGAAATGAATCAGAACTCAAAAACATGGTTTTCAAACGTATGTCAGCTCAAGTAATTTGTCATAAGTAATAAGATAAAATTATCAAATGTTGTACAGGGCCATTCATTACAAATTTCCTGAAAATGATCAGTTTTGTCCTATCACTAAAAAAATAAATGATTACATTACATAAACAGTTTGGGGCTTGCCTTTTACTTTAGTGCTGGGGAAAGGCTTTTTAGAATGTATGCTAATGTCAGAAATCTAACTGGGATGATATTGATAATAATATTAATGCCTCAAATTTGTGGAGTGACTTATGATTCACAAAGAGCTTTCCTACATCAGTTCATTTCATCAACACGACAAAAGCGTGAGGTGGGAACCATTATCACAGTTCTGCAAATGAGAAGACCAAATTTCAAATGATGAAATTCGTCCAAGGTCACACAGCTATGAGGTGCCAGAGCGAAGATTGAAAAACCACATCTAGCCAGAACACCATGTTTTGCCTAAAATGGGGCAGGGAAAGAGAATGGCAACTTGGCATGCTGGGAGTCTCTAAAGGGCAAAAAAAGAGAATAAATATTCTGAACTATCTGTCCTTCTGAAACTCTTTGCTATCGTAAAATATTTCAGTGCTACCAAGCCACAGTGGAAATGACTGCAAATCCTCCAGAAGTTATAAATGGAAGAGTTAAACCAGTTGTGACCCTGAGTATTATTCTAATCACCTAAAAGAAATCAGAGCTAGTTTAAGGATTGCCGCATAAAGATCTAAAGGAAAATAGAACAAACTTCAGCTTAGTCTTTGCCAAATGCTTCAAAAGCTCAATTTTTGTTTAAATAGTTGTTTAAAACTTGGAATGACTTTGAGCTATGAACGTATTTATTTTTGCCATTTGTGCTCTGAATGGAGATCGAGTCAGCTAACAGAAACCTACTTAGTCCATGATGCGGGCAGAACACTGGAGACTGGCAATGCAAAATATAGCACTTGTGAATGACATCACCGCAAATGTACAGTATTTCATGTATACTGTGATTTAAATAAGTTATTGTGGGTTCAGTTGAACACTCAACCATCCTTCTAAAGTGTGTTTCTATTCTTAGCTTCCTCTGATTTCAAGTAGAATTTGAAACCCATTTTCTCACAGAAATAAGTCTAGCTTGACTGCAAAGGTCACTAGACTTGAATACTGAAGGAAAATTGGGTTTAAATTCAAGTTCTATAAAGATATGCATTGTGTGATTGTGGACAAGGTGTTCATTGATTCATTCCATCGGTAGCCGCTCACTTGGCATTGATTTTGGCTTAGTTCATGTGTAACCTCCTTCAAGAAGCCTTCCTGGATGCCTTCAACTCCCCCTTGGCCCTTAGCTTCTCCCTCTTTATAATCCCATTATACCTTATGCCTGTCTCCATCAACAACCTTTTCACACTGAATTAAAATTGCTGTTTTCTTTCTCTATGATTCCCCACCAGACTATTGAGAATAGCCAGCAACTATTTGCTGCTCTTCAGTGGCAGTGCCCATATTTTCCTTGGGAAGCCCTCTCTCCCCTTCTCCTAGTACATGGGGCCCATGGACAGACTGATTTCCCTCCCAGTCTTTGATCCACTCCAAGCTATTTGGAGCTTTACATATTTATTGCCAAAGGGATTGGTTTTGCCATATAAATGGGACCCTTCCAGAACCAAGGAAGCCTGCCCTTTTGTCCTAACTTGAGAAGCCAATAATCTCCTTCTGCTGGCCTTGAACATGGAAAGTTGTAGGTACAGAGCCAGCAGGAACTGCCATGGAGTAGTAAGCAGCATTTTAAAGAGTGAAGCTGACACAGAAGAAAAGAGACTTGTAGAGACTGACAGAAACCTGAAATGTTTGCCTGGAATTTTTAATAATATGAAGCAATACATTCAATGATTGATTAATCCATTTTGAGTTGGATTGCCATCCGCTGGAACTCAAAAAGCCCTGAGTGATAAAGATGATGCCATGCACGCCTTTATCCCTAGCATATGAACCATCACCTGAAACAGCCTGCACACTCAAAACCTACATGCAAAGGAGATAAAATAGAATCAAATGGAGACCTTGTCCACTCAGGGCTTCAAAGACAGGTGAGGCAAAGGAAGATGGCGTCAACAGAGAGATAGATACACGGTGCTGGTTGCTATGGCATCTCAGGGAAGCCGAGTGTTACCTCAACCCCGCAGCAGGGGGCAGAGAAGGCCCCACAGAAGCGGTCTCCTCTGAACTGTACCTTGAAGAAAGAGTAGGGGTCTTCCAGATATAGCCCGTGGGAGACATTCTAGATACAACAAAGAACATGTACAGAGGCTTACTTGACCTGTCAGAACTTGAGTATTCTTATCTGTAAAATGGAGATAGCACACTTAACTGGTCCACCACAGTCATGGAGCCCGTGCTCTGTGCCAAGCACTACCTGGGTAAGTTTAAAATCTACAAATGCCTAAGATATGGTGCCCATCCTGAAGGAGCTCACAGCATGATGGGTGAGCTACAAAAGTAAACATGCAAAAGCAGTGCAGGAAATGGGTATGGAGGAACACAAAAAGGGGTCACTTAACACCTCTTCCTCAGAAAACAGGGTGGACTCCCTGGAGGAGGTGGCTGTGAAGCCTTAGTAGGTGTTGATCACTGGGGAACTGTCTAAAAAATAAACACTGCTTTCTCTGTCATCCCAACACCTTGAAAGGGAACTAAAAAACCCTCAACACTTATCTAATAGCTGCACTGGGAAGAAAATAAAGCAGAGCATATTGGTCTTTGGGAGTAGAAGTGGTCAGTGAAATAAATATTCATGATTTGGGGAAGGCAAACAAAGAGAAGATATTATTTTTCTGCTTAACCTCAATCTTATGTAATCATAACGTCACATTTTTGAAGTGCTTAGTCTACACGATGCTAAGTGCTCGACACGGATTATTTTAGTCATTTACAAGGTAAGCACTATGGTTATCTCCATTTACAGATGAAAACGTGAAATTTTGGAGGGTTGGGTAAACAGCTTCTGAGTTCCAGCCAACAAATGGGCACTGGGCTTTGAACCTTGGCAAGCTGAAGATAGAGCCTTGAGGCGACACTGTGTGCAGACATGATTAATCTGATATTAGGAAGCTAGAGATTAAGGGAGATGCTTGCTGAATTTATTTCAGATTTACTACTGACAGGAAATAACAATGCCTTGATGTCTTTTGACTTTCCTTGATGGGGGCATAGCATGAAAGGATGTTCTTTTCTTTCTTCCCTTCATTCTCTTCTTATAGAGTATGTCAAATGCACAGCTAAGTATAAAGGTGATAACAGTGTACACCTGTGTACGCACGACTCCGCTTTAGCCAAGCTTAACATTTTGCCCAATGTCCTCAGGGTTTTAAAAAAATAAATAACACTGCAGATCCAGTCCTTCTGGTGCCTCAAAGATGACACCTCCAAATCAATCACCTTCTCTGCGAATGCATCACATGGGCACAGGCTGATATCAGCGCCTAAGGGGACATTAGTCACCTCTGGGCCCTGAAAGGAAGAATTATTTGGGTGTGGCAAAGATTTAAAAAAAAAAAAAACTCACTTGGATGATCCAAAATGTTTTCCTGGAAAGGTTCAGAAGCTGTGAACTGGGACCGAGGAGGCAGGTTGTGGGAGTTTTCTCCGGGACTCCGAGAGGTGACATGGCTGGAAAAGGAGGTTTTCACAGACTCTGCATTTAGCTTCTCCGACTCCCAGTTACCCATCAGTGAACAGTCCAAACCACCTCCTGGAAGAGCAGAAGGGATCAGTGCTTGTGTGTGTTTGTGTGTGTGTGTGTTTTCGGTGACTAATGATCATAACAATAGTCTCAAGAAGGACAGAGAATTGGAACTGAACGAGCAGAGATATTTTTTTCCTAACCTGTATTTTCATGGCATGTCTGGATCATAAAGTGACTAAGGCAGCCCACAGGTGACAGCCCCAGAGAAGATGCCAAGCCAGAGTTCCGGAAGGGGAGCCAGGGTAGAGGGGAAGGCAAAAGCTTCATGAGCCCCGGGGCGGGTGGATCCGTTGATTCATTCAATGCAGAATTATTGTATAACTGCACACAGGACACAGCTCAAGAGGCTGGGAGTCAGAAGCCAAAGTAGATACTGCTGTGCCCCACTCACAGTTGGAGAGGGACAAGCACACAAGCCCACAGCTAAGAGGCAACGAGGTCATTGCTATGTGGAAGCCTGGCAGAAGGTGTCCAGATGGAGCCTAGGAGGGAGTGTGTGAGTGCTGAAGTGGAAACTTGAAGGATGAGTAGGAGTGCTTCCAGAGAGACAGCAGGAGGAGGGCAGGCCAGGCAGAGAGGAGAAGGAGGGAGAGGGGGAGGGGGGCGGAGAAGGAAAGACATCAGCCTGGGAGAGAACGTGGCAGGTTCCCAGAAGAGGGAGGCCTCCTATGTGGTCAGACAGGAAGTCCTGGAAGATGGTTCTGGCTGGACTGCTAAGAGGGGGTCAAATCACGAAGGGCCTCATGGGTCACACTCACTCAGGAGCTAAGATTTATCCTGAGGGCAACTTGGAGCGTGAGTGTAACAGGAGGTACCTGGTGTGTTGAAGTGCTCACTCAGCAGTGAGAGATGGGAGAGAAGCCCCTCCCGTTTTGGAAGCTGGGAATGACTGTGGAACTCCAAGAGACACTTGGGGTCCTCATATAACAGTGCTTCTTAACCAGAAGTAATTTCTCTCCCCAGGGGACATTTGACAATGTCTGGAGTCATTCTGGGTTGTCACAACTTAAGCAGGGGAGAAGGGATGGGGTGTCACTGGTATTTAAGGAAATAAAACCCAGGGATGTTGTGAAACATCCTATAATGCACAAGACAGGCCTGGATACTGAGCTAATGAACTGATGCTTCTGGACACGGGAATTCCTGCCAACCCTGCAGGTTGCCTCCCACCCTCCCACCCACAACTTGCTGCCTCTTCACAAAGCAATCTGCAGAAGCACTCCTGCTGGTTGCCATAGAAAAAGGAAACAGTAGAAAGTGAGACATGCAGAGCGTCCAGTAATGATCAAGTTGCAGACGAGGTCCTGGACCTTGTTCATTGCAGCACTAGTCACAGCAGCCAAGTTATGGAAACAACCCGAGTATTCACCAATAGGCAAATGAGTAAAGAAAATCCTGCCATTTGTAACATCGTGGATGAACCAGGAGGACATTATGCTAAGTGAAATAAGCCAGTCGTAGAGAGACAAATACCGCATGATTCCACTTACACACGTGGTATCTAAAGTAGTCAAAATCAGAAAAGCAGGGAATAAAATGGTGGTTGCCAGGAGCTGGGGGAGGGGGCCATGGGGAGTTGTTCAACGGTTATAAGGTTTCAGTGATGCTAGATGAATAAGTTCTAGAGGTCTGCTGAACATAGTGGCTATAGGTGTCAATGAGGTATTTTACGCACTTCAAAATGTGTTGAGAAGGGTGATCTCGCTTTTTGTACTTAGTACAAAAAACAGGCTCCCCCCAAAACCCCCGCAGAAACAAAAGACTCCACAAAGGGACACAAGGAAACTCTGGGAGGTGTTGGATGTCTGTTGCCTTGACTCTGGTGATGGTATCAGGGGGTTTGCAACTGTCCAAGCTCATCAAAGTGTACACATTAAATAAGTACATCTGCATATATCAATTATACCTCAATAAAGCTGTTTTAAAAAAAGAGAGGAAGCTATGTGGTCAAATTAACATGGAAGTGAGAAGGAACTGGTAACTTTCATGGCTGATTATATATTCATGAATGGCACTGAACTAAGATCTGGGGAGATATGGTTGAGGGTGTGAGAAGAGTAAAAATATTCCTGTGCTGTCGTCCAAGGCTGCTCTGTTGAACTTATGCTTTGCCACTGAGAGTGAGATGAAAGAAAAATGTATCTCGTGTAGCATACTGGAAATATTACACAGAATTTTCTGCAAGAAGAGTTGACATTAAAAAGAGAAACCACAAAAGAATCTTAACAAAAAATGATCAAGGAATTTTCATCTCTGAAAGGACACAGTTTGCCCCCAATTCACGCTTCCCCTCACTGACATTTTTTTCCCTCTAACCTTAATAATAAATGAAAGAATCATAATGCAGAAAACATTTCAGTAAATAGTTCTTTGGTATTATATTTGAAGATATTAATTTCATTCTGTTCCTTCTGATTTATTTAAATGCAGGGTAGCTGACTCCTGTTTTAAAAAGGAGGAATCCATTTCTCCCGAGGACATTCCCTATCCTTGCAATGTAGAATGGGCATTTGTTTGCTATAGAGGGAAACACAAAGTGACATACAGATGTTGCCATTAAAGATATTTACGGAAGAGGCGCTAGATCAAGAGAAAATCGCAGACCTCAGGCAAGGGTGCCTTGTCTGAGGTCATCTTGTCTTTCTTTCTTGGGACTGGCAGAAATAGAGCGGGAAGTCCTGATTCGTCCTCCCTGCACGAATCCTAGATCCTCTATCAATATGACTCACGGGCTCTGGGGATGCATCCCAAATTGCAGTATTGGGTCTGGGGAGCTACAGAATGCCATGGCTAAAGAATGAATTGCAGCTAATGAGGAAAGGTATCTCGACACAGCTGTGGAAGGGGTGAGCTAAGGATAAACAAAATAGGCAACAACAACAGAAAAAACGTTTTTAGCCTGAAAAATGAAGCAAAAGGAAATCAGAGGAAGTAAGTTTTGATTGCATCCATGGCCCAGAGAGAAAACAGCAAAACAATTTAATTTTGAATTCTTCTCTAGTCTTCTAACTCGGCGATGTTTCCAGAGAAAAATAAATTGCTGATAAAAGTCACGGGGCTTTGGGTAAATCCGGAAAATAAGAAGTCTGGGGAAGATTTGATTACAATTGACAGCAGAAATGAGAGCTTTCAAAATCCTGTGTGTGCGCACCCGGGGTTGACTAATTACTGATTTGGAGGGGGGTGGTTTGATTTGTTATATTTAGAAGATATTTGGAAACCATGAGAATTTTAACAAGATACCTCATGCACATGCGGTGCTGCTGTGGTCCAATTGCTTTAAGGTTGTTTGGACATATTTTGAAGAGGCAACTATGGGAAAACAAGACGTTAATTTACAAATATGTGAAACTCTGCCTTTAGAACAGTGATTCCCAAACTTCGGGCATCCAAGCATCATTTTCCTGATTTTTGCCACATCCCGGAGCCTTCTTAACTCCTAGCCATTTCATATTTTCTTAAATTGTTTCACTTTAGTCTTTTACTTTAAAGGAAACTTTATATCAATCATTTAAATGTCCTAAAGAAAAAGTAAATATAAAAACAAATACAGGGGCTTCCCTGGTGGCACAGTGGTTGGGAGTCCGCCTGCCGATGCAGGGGACACGGGTTCGTGCCCCGGTCCGGGAAGATCCCACATGCCACGGAGCGGCTGGGCCCGTGAACCGTGGCCGCTGAGCCTGCGCGTCCGGAGCCTGTGCTCCGCAACGGGAGAGGCCACAACAGTGAGAGGCCCGCGTACCACAAAAAACAAAAAACAAAAAACAAAACCAAATACAGTGAAAATGAGAGCTTATTTAATTTGCACCAAATCCTTTTGTAGGGGAGAGCTCTGAGTCTGTTCTTTGTTAAAAGAGGGAGTAGTGAGTGTTCAAGAGTCTTAAAGCAACTGAGGCTCTCATCTGAGCCCTTCTCCTTGGTTCTATGAGAAAGATGGTGAGATCTGGAAGAGGAGTCAGAGCTTCCGCCTCACTGAGAGATTCAGCATTCACTACTGTCGTGTCCTAGAGGCATCTGCCGCCTCACCCACACTTTGGGAAAACGTTGCTTTAGAACCAAGAAGAGACTTGCCCCATGTGTTCCAGAAAGTCAGCCTAGGACCAAGAGATGGATGTTCCAAGTACATAAGATAGGTCAGCAGAAGCAAGCCACTACTGCAGCAGTGCTACCAATGAGAGGAAGAGGCAGCCCACCCTTAAAAGGCAAGGGGGTTTTGATTGTGTTGTATACTAGTATACAGGAAAGAACGGTGAAATTAGGAGAGTCATGAAGTACTGGATTTGGAAAAACCTCGTTTATATAAAACAGAATGGAATGAAAGCCTAAGCCCCAATATTGCTGACTTTGCCCCCTGAAATAACAGAACTCTATTGAGACAATCCCTTGGCAACACGAAGGTCACGGAAGAAAAAGTAAGCAACTCAGGGCTGAGCTGTGATTCCTTTAGGGCAGAAGAAGGGCAGGCCCCCAACCATCACCAAACACCACTTTTGTCAGGACCGTTGCAACACGCAGTGTTCCTGCCCCTGCTCTGGCACCTTATCGTTTTGCTTAGGACCTTGTTGTCTTTTTACCAACTTAATTGCTTGAAATGCTAATATAGCCTGTCTCTTCGCTGTTTCAAGGCTGTGATATATTTTCCTAGTGTTTCTGGTTTTTAAAAATAAATAAGGTTTAATTTTTTCCTCCAGAAAAAGTCATGAGTCCAACAAAATAGGCAAATCCATGCAGACAGGAAGTAGGCTAATGGTCTACTAATGGGTAGGGGGACAGGAAATGGGGCACGACTGATAACGAGTATGGTGTTTCTCTTTGCTGTGATGCAAATGTTCTGGAGTTAGAAAGTGGTCATGGTTTCATAACCTACTTTGTGAATATACTAAAACAATCACTGAATTGTACATGTTAATATGGTAAACTTTATGGTATGAATTATATCTCAATTAAAAAGTAAGGAGGGCTCCTTCTCACTGTAGGTATCCGTGCCACAATCTGTCCGGGATGCCAAGAGTTGGCAGGATCACCTCTAGTTGCCTTCTTCTTTTTCTTTAACATCTTCATTGGAATATGATTTCTTTACATTGTTGTGTTATTTTCTGCTGCATTCTAGTTGCCTTCTGATGGAAGATGCCGTGCATAACTTTTTTTTACCAGAGACGTCTTTAAGGCTGCAGGACACTTGACCTCTTTCGCAAGCGGCACACCCTTAGTCATTTCTTTATATGCTCTTCTTTCATGGCATCATGCTGTTCTGGTCCTCCGCCTGAGAAACTTTCCCCACAGTGCCTGTCCTGGTTGTAGCACGGTGAGCACATACTCAAGATTCCTCGGTTTGAGGCCAGCCTATGCTACTTACTAGTTGCACGGCCCCATGAAAAGGATCTAATCTGCCTTAGTGTTCCCCTCGGTAAAATGGGGATAATCATAATACTCTCTCTATGTTGTTGCAAATGGCAGGAGTTCCTTCTTTTATAAGGCTGAATAACATTCCACTGTATGTATATGCCACATTTTCTTTGCCCATTTATCTGCTGATGGACGTTTAGTTTGTTTCCATATCTTTGCTATTGTGAGTAACGCTGCAACGAATATGGAATGCTGATAACTCTTTGAGATCCTGATTTCAATTCCTGTGAATATATATCCAGAAGTGGGATTGCTGGATCACATGGTAGTTCTATTTTTAATTTTTTTAGGAGCCTCCCTACTGTTTTCCATAGCGACTGTACTAATTTACATTCCCTCCAGCAGTGCACAAGGGTTCCCTTTTTTCCACATCCTCACCAACATGGATGAACCTGAAGCGCATTGTGCTACGTGAAATAAGCCAGACACAGCGGGAGAAACGCTGCATGATTTCCGTAGTCCAAATTTCAGTTCCACAAGATGAATGACTCCTAGAGGTCTGTACAGCACAGTGGCTATAGGTAACGATTCTGTGTTGTATACTTAGAACTTTGCTAAGAGGGTAAATCTTACATTGTGTTCCTAACACACACACACGCACACAACTAATACTCCCACATAGACTTTGGAGAGAAGTGATGACATAACATAATGGATTTGTTGCAGTGATGCTGGACCATAGCGCTCATTATTATCAGGGATAATTATTACTGGAGCTGCTGTTTAACCTCCTAAATCCCTTTCTTAACTCTCCTTTCTGCTCATCCACTTGTTTTCCTCCTTTGTTCCAAAGACCTCTACTACTTCTCACACTGGCTTCCAAATCAATATCAAGATCCTTCCTCACTCCTGACCTCTTTTCTTACACTTCCAAACCCCTACTGGCTATCTGTCCACTTCCCATAAGTACTACAAATTAAACTCACAAGAAACAGAATTCAGGGTCTCTTTTCCTGACCCCAACCTGTTCCTTTTTGCCTTTCTACAGCTAATTCATATTGAGCAGGACACCAGGCCCTGTACTAATATGTCCTTTCCATGAATTGTTGTATCTCATCCTCACAACAATTCCACGTTACTATTTTTCTTGTTTTATATACATAGAAATAGAAGACCAGGATTGTTAACTAACTTCCCCGAGAACACTCAGGTTGGAGAAGGTGATTCAAGGGCTTGAATTTAGGTCCGTTCAGCTCAAAAGCTCATCTTCCTCATAACTCGGACAGACTGTCTTCCAGGCCTTGGTGACAGGCAGAACTTTTCACGCAGTTCCCCGAATTAAACACATCCGTTTTCTTTGATTCCTCCCACTTTCTCATCACTACATTCGATCTGTCACCAGCGTGTCAATTCTACCTTGAAAAAGATTCCTTCAATCTCTTCCCTCTATTTCCAGAGCCACTGTCCCTGGTGTGCCAGCTGGTTTTAATTGCCTCTGAGTTCCCACTAGGTACCTCCATCCAATCTTTACTTCATGGTGCTGTAAAGGCAATCTTTAAACATCTAAATCTGATTGTGTCATTGCCCTGCTTAAGAGCCTTCTACCAGCAGATGTAAGCTATTAGATATGGAATGGATAAACAACAAGGTCCTACTGTGTAGCACAGAGAGCTATATTCAGTATCCTATGATAAACCACGATGGAAAAGAATATCAAAAAGTGTGTATGTGCAAAGCAGAAATAGAGACACAGGTGTAGAGAAAAAACTTATGGACATCAAGAGGGGAAGGGGGTGGGATGAACTGGGAGATTAGTATTGACATATATACACTGCTATGTATAAAATAGATAACTAAGGAGAACTAACAGTGAACTCTACTCAATGATCCGTGGTGACCTAAATGGGAAGGAAATCTAAAAAAGAGGAGATATATAAGTACACGTATATACAATATATACGTATAAAGGGTTCATTTCACTGTACAGCAGAAACTAACACTATATTGTAAAACAACTATACTTCAATAAAAAATAATAAAATAAAATAGGCTTCTAAAATATCCTTGATTGATTAGACAAAATCCAAAGTCCTCAACACGGCGCAGAAGTTTCTTCAGATATCTTTAGTCTATCATTCCAGGCTCACCCACCACATCCCTGCCTCTTTCTCTTATCTTTGTCCTGTTTATACATCCTTGTTATTGTGGGGAACTAGGATACACTCAGTTTAATTACTAGTTTGTTAACATAAGGAATTGTTTCTTCATTTAACAAGCACTATTTTTTTAAATGAATCTAGTGTAACACACACACACACACACATTCACAGACAAAAACTGGTGGAATCTTCATGGTCTGGCATCAATGTCACTTTCCTGGTTTTGATAATGTACTACCGAGTAAGTTTTACCAGCAGGGGAAGTTGGATGAAGGGTACACAGGTGCTTTCTGTATTATTTATTTTTCAACTTCTTATGAATCTGTAATTACTACAAATCCAAAAGCTTTCACAAAAATAATATAGTATTTGAGCTGTCTGCCCAGGAAGCAGGTTGAGAAAAATAGTGGACACGTAAGGACCATATCTTTAAATTCTTATGTGGTTGTGTTATGTGAGTCCTCTTGCTTTGCTTTTTGGGCCTGGGCTATGAGGTATATGCTGGAAAGGAGAGGAAAACCCTTACTGGCAACAGAGCAAAGGCTGGGCTTTCAAACTAGACAGACCTAGGTTGAATTCCAACTCTGCTGTTTATAAACTAAATGAACATGGGCAAGTTACTCAACCCTGAACTTCAATTTTATCATAATTATAATAAATATGATAATATGACCTAATTCCTAGAGGACTTTGAGATGTTTAAACATGATAATGTATGTAAACAAGGTAATATATAAATAATAATATAATACATAAATAACATAAACAAGACAGGATGTAAAGTGCTTAGCATATAATAAGCACCCTTGACTGCTCTCTTTCTTTCTCTCAGCCCACGTCAGCAAAATCCTGTTGGCTCTACCGTCGAAGTGTATCCAGAATCCTTCCCATTCTCACCGCCACCCTGCTATCATCTTAGTTCAAGCTGCCATTCTCTCCCACCCGAGTCACTCTAACACCTCTTCACTGGTTTCCTAGCTTCTGCCCTCTATACCTACCTCACCTCCAACCTGAACACAGCAGCCAGAGCTATGTTGTCAAAATGTAAGGTGAATCACGTTATTCTTCTGCTCAAAATCCTCCAGCGGTTTCTCCCCTCACTCGGAGCAGAGAGCAAAGCCTTTGAAATGGTCTCACAGGTCTCATTGTCCTTCTGCAGCTGCTCCACCCATACACCTCTGAGATCCTGACCTCTCTTCTCCCCTCACTCACTCAGCCCCTCGCAGGCTCCTAGGCCAGAACCTTTGACCTTGCATTTCCTTTGCCCGATTGTTTCTCCCCAGATGCTTCACTCCCACGTTTAAGTCAGTGCTCAAAAGTCACTTTCAGGAAGGCCATGCCAGTCACCCCACCGAAACTTGAAATGCCCATCACTTCCTCCTTTGCTGCCCCACACTTCTTACCACTTTCCAGCATGCTTCGTAATTTACGTCATTGCATTCCTTGTCAGGAATGCAAGTTGCGTGCGAACAAATAGTTTTGTCTGTTTTGGTCACCGATACGTCCCAGTGTGTAGAACGATGCCTGATACCTAGTTGGCCCTCGATAAAATCTTCCAAGTGAACAAATGAATGAATGAACCAATCCCAGCATATGAACAACAGGAGCGAAGCGGCAGAACTGAGGAAGAGCACGGTGCTCAGGAAACAGCGCAGATCAGTGTGATCAGAGTCCAATGCGTGTATGTAAGGGACCTGGTCTCCCTCCTCCCCTTCCCGGAAGACATCCTGAAGGGCCCTCAATACCCCAGGCCTCCACTGCGTTGCCCCCATACTCTCCTCACCATTGGTCCAGGACCACATGGTTGCTACTTCCCTTTTGGAAATTTCACCATGGAAAAAGAGGTTCAGACTCACCATTTTCATTGCAATGGTTTGTTTCCAGCCTCCTGACCCCCTCCAACCAGACGTCCTCATTGGGGGAAGAGTCAGCATTACCAAAGGAGCTTCCATGCAGCCAAGATTCAGAGGCACTGAGGTTGAAGAGAGAAGAAAAAGAACGGCGGATTCTCTTTTTCTTCCTAAATATTCTGGAAAGAAATGAAAGTACCAAGTGAATAATGAGTAGGAGTCAACTCAGGGTCAAAGCGGAGAATTTAGTGAAAACGGATGCACAGGGCACATGTCTACCACCCAGGTCCGTGAAGCTCATTTCATTTGTTTCCTCCATTAATTCCAGAGAAGTTTCTTAAATTTCTGTGTGTGCCAGGTGCTTGGATCAATGTCAAGTATATTGAGATAAAAGACAAAACCTTGGGTCAAAAAAGTTCATAATCTAGTATGGGAGAAAGGCAAAAATAATGCAGATACGGCTAATGCTTTCCCTGACCTCATCATGTGCCTGGTGTCCTTCCTAGTGATTTGCATATAGTAATTCACATTATCCTCAGAACAGCCCTGTGAGGTAGGTGCTACTGTTGCCTCATTTCTCAGATCAGGAAACTGAGGCACAGAGAGTTAAAGAACTTGTCTGAGGTCATACAGCTAGTAAGTGACATAACAGGGGTGCAAACCCAGGCAGTCTGGCTCCATCCTTTCTGCCCTGGATTACTGTGCTCTGTGGATGTGTGTTCTAACCGCTTAAGGCTGCTTTGAGAGTACCAGGAGGGGTATCGCTAATCTGGAGTCAAGGGAGCCTTTCTGGGGTATATGAACAAGAAGTCTCATATTGAGTCATGCTAGGAAATGAGTCAGGAAAGGTAAAAAGAAGGTGGATAATGAATAACCTTGACTGTTATGTGAAGGAGTTGGAATTTAACATAAGAGCACAGGGAGATCACTGAAGTATGTCAAGAGGAAGGGGGTGGGTGGTGATGTGATTTGGTAATTGCATTTCCAAAAGATTTTGATTCCCCACACATCCACACTCCCAACAATCCATCTTCTACCTTGTAATCAGCGTTATCGTGCTAAGGATGACTCTGATAGCTTGTCAATAGCTCCTCTTTTATCTACAGAATAAAGCCCAACCTTCTTAGGCTGGAGGCTGGAATGTAACCTCTTCAATCCAGCCCTGCTTCTGGGCTTAGTCTCCTCTCTTGGGAGAGCAGCCCTTTCCACCCTAAGTGGTAGCCCTCCCAAACTATGTGCCATTCCTCTCACTTTGTATCAGGGTATCTTAGAACTCCATGCCTGTTCCCTCCTCTGGAAGTCCTCTTTCCTACATCTATCTTAACTAACAGCCTGTGCCTCTCAAGACTCAAATCAATCATCCTCATCTCTAAGAAGCTTGTATTAACCCGTCGCTCCAAATAAAATGGGCCTCCTTTCCTTCTTCCCTCTGCTAACCTCTATCAGGCTTCACTCCCAGCACCTGTATGGCTTCATTACTTTCTTTTTTTAAATTTAATTTAAGTTTTTAATTTTTATTTATTTTTAATTTTTTTTTTGGCTGCACTGGGTCTTCGTTGTGGTGCGTGGGCTTCTCATTGCGGTGGCTTCTCTTGTTGCGGAGCACGGGCTCTAGGCGTGTGGGCTTCAGTAGTGTGGCTCGCGGGCTCTAGAGTTCAGGCTCAGTAGTTATGGTGCGTGGGCTTAGTTGCTCTGCGGCATGTGGGATCTTCCTGGACCAGGGATCGAACCCGTGTCCCCTGCATTGGCAGGCAGATTCCTATCCACTGCGCCACCAGGGAAGCCCAGCTTCATTACCTTCCTTTGTTTTCACGTCGGCCACCCCTGCCCCTTATGAGCCTGTGTGTTTCCACCAACTGGAGCAGTAATGGGCTCCTTATAAACGATGTTGAATGAACAAATGAATGAATGAATAATTAACGTTTGGGTTGGACTTCAGATCCTTGTACCTAACCTCCTCTACTTACTTGACTAAGTTCTCCTTGTACAGGACACTGGTCTGGGAGGGGCTCAGAGTTGTGTTGCCATCTTTGTCGCAGAGAAAACTGTCTTCGGTCCAGATGTAGTAGCCATTGGTGAGGAGTCTGGGACTTCGGCGACAGGTAAGGTGGGAGCCTGTCAGGGGATCTATGGGGCAGCAGTCAAAGGGACTGTTGCCATCCAGGAAATCACAGACAAAACCAAGGAGGGGATGAGAGAAGACCTTTCAATCTCTGTCCGGTTCATCCAGGCGCACAAAAACCACATTTCTAGTCACTGTGAAGGAAAACCAGCTCTTTGCGTTCCTGGCTACCGACTACTCCTGCACCTCTGAGACTGCCTCTCTTAAACTTCTCACTTTCATCTCTTTACCTGTGAGACAATTGACCTACAGCACATTTAGTGTTTCTTTCTGTCAGCCTACCTGTGATGCTGGAAGCTCAGAGCCTGCTCCAGCCCACCCTTACTTCAAATAACCCTCTGAATGCTATATCCTTACTCTTGTCACTCTAACAGATAAATCACAGCTACACAACCACCAGACGTATATGAATTATAGGAGAACATGCAGTCAAAGAGATCTTTTTGGCTTTTGCCAATTTCCCTCAGGCCAACCACACAAATGATTGCATAGTTACCCTCCCTGATTTACTATCCAGGGAAGAAGTCTTCTACTTAGTTGGGTGAGTCTGTATATGTCTTAGGTTTGAAAAACAATCACATGTCTGTATGGTTGAAAGGCAACCTCATGCCTCATGCTTCACTGAAATTCTGAAAATTTTTTTTAAGTTTAAAGCTTATTCATGCTGTATATAAAATAGATAACCAACAAGGACCTACTGTATAACACAGGGAGCAATATCAATATTTTGTAATAACCTATAAGGGAAAAGAATCTGCAAAAGAATATATATATATTCCGAATATATATAACTGAATCACTTTGCTGTACACCTGAAACTAACACAACACTGTAAATCAACGATACTCCAATAAAATATTTAAAAAATAAACTGGTGCCATCAAAGAAAAAAGCCTATTCACAACTATTACATGCACTAAAGTTAGCAAAATACTACTTTAAATGGATATTATTTATGGAAAACTTACTACGAGCCTGGCCCATACTTCATACTTTATCTGCTTTTCACAAACCTCTCTAAAAGCTAAGTATTATTATCTTTATAGTACAGCAGGAAAAAAAAAATGAGATGCAGAAGGGCAAATAAATTGGGTATTTTATACAGCTAGTAAGTGGCAGAGTTAAGATTTGAACTCTGGTCTTTCTGACTCTAAAGCATGGGCTCTTTCCATGTGACCTGCCTGTTCATCTTTGACTGGTGCATTTGCTAGTAGTAGGAGGCCTAGAACTTACAAAAGGGGACAGGTTCTAATATCAAAGCATGATCCCTTTATACCACCGGCATGTTTCACAAAATGCTAGAGGAAACATTGGCTGATGCCTGTGCGAGGAATAAAAGACAGACAGAGAAACAGAAAAAAAGAGAAAAAAAAAAGTAAGGAATGAAAAGAAAAGAGACTTCACTGCAGAACGTGAACAACATGGTAGATTGTACAGGTTTTAGTGGAGCATGACATTTGGCTGGCTTGTGCACTGGTATAGACCCTTGTGGCTCTTGTAAAGTGAGACAGTAAAAGCATATTTAAGAGAACATCAATTTGAGAAAAAGTAACCATGCATCGGTATTCGGTAGTTTCTCCACTCACCAAACAAACAAACCATTCACGTTTGCCCACACACTCACCTCCCTCCCTCCCAAACTCCATTTATTAGGTTAGGCAAGTTTGCAATCTGTATGTGCATGGGACTGGAAATATATCTCCATACCAAACCTGGATGAAACCTAAAACTAATATATATACCCCGCACTACGTGGCTTGCGGGATCTTAGTTCCCTGCCCAGGGATTGAATCTCAGGCCACAGCAGTGAAAGAGCCGAGTACTAACCACTGGACCGCCAGGGATTTTCCAATATTTTTAAGCCAAGAATACAACAAAATAATGCATACAGAAAGAATTTGATTGATTTTTCTTGCGAAAAGCCCAATGGAATACCTTGGGAAAATGCATGGGGGAGACAGCTCTACAGCGTATTCTTTCTCAGACCGGGAAGAATCTGCATAAGTAAATGAGAGAGAAGTACAAATTTATCACACTGCATCAACATGCATGATTGCAAACAGTGGACGGTGTGAATAGCTGATGTTCCAGCCTCAGCAGAGATTCCAAATGGTGCAGGCATCCAATGAATCAGGACGAGCACAACTTGTCACCAGGTCTCTACAGGCAGCAAGACATGATCTAGGGGCTTCTATCTCCTGTCTCTTCTCTCATTCAACTCTCCTTGAGAGGTTCCTTAGTTCGGATGAGGCAATGATATGCCATTAGCATCAAACTGACTCATGAAAAGGAGGAAGAAAACGTCTTACGTGAAGCTGTCCCAAACCCGAATCAATTACCCAAAGTTCTGGTTATTTTAGCTTACTCAGTCATTTGAGGAATTCAATCACCTGCCTAGATTCTATCTCGTTAGTGCATTTGAAGGCACTTCTGTTACAAAATAATGAGCAGAAGACGAGTGGTGGAAAAAAATAAAGTTTTGTTTTATATAAATGATTTTCCAATGTATGACGCCTGTGAGTATTCTTAATTAAAAAATAGATCATGCATTCATTCATGTTCCAATTTAACCAAAGGCATGGCAACAGATTTCAACTGGGGAGAGTCGTAGTTGATTAATATTCTAAACTTTAAAGCAGCATTTTATATTGCATAGTAATGGTGTGAATACTTCTAATAGACAGGTTCAGTGAAACTTGGTTCCATTACTGACAATAAATATCTAAGACAAAGAAAGGAGTTTAGACTTTCAGATTGGGTTGGTGGATTTGAAGGAGAAAATTGTAGGAGTGTGAGGGAGGGTAGAAGCAGGGTTTGGGGAGAAAATAACAAGAGGAAGGAAGAAATTTGAAACCACTACCGTTTGAACAACGCCTACATTTTCTCCAAGTAGCTATCAAAATCATTCGGTATTTTTTTACAGACCAACCGTTTTGCATCTTAATAGTAACTGATAAACAATCCCCTTTCACATTTATGCACAGGCATCAAAAAATGGTGGTTTTTTTTTTTCCTACTAAAAGGAAAAATACCACATTTCTCTCAAGGAAAGAAATGAAGTCAAAATCATTGCCAAAGTGAACACTGGCATTTAAGAAGCACGAGCTACTGACAGATGGTTAATGGTATGAGTATCAGCAAAATCAAAGCAAGGAAATTGCTAAAAGAAGTCTAATCGTTCAAAAGATAATTGCGTAGAGCAGTTCTACATTTACTTGCTACTGGTGTTGACATCAGTTGAGATATTCGGTTCATCTTGGGAAGGCTGCTTGTTCAAACTTCACAGATTTTCTGCAGAAGACATTAAAAAAAGGTGGATTACGTATTAAAAATAGAAAGATGATGTCAAAACAGATGGCATCTACTAATTGCACTAGTCAGATTTGTTTACTGAAAGAGTACAGAGATCAATGGGATTGAAGGCAGGGTTGAAGGGCCACTGAGGTTGTGTCTGCCTCTACAATTTTAGATTACATTTTCCATTGTGTTGCTCAGTGCATCTAAATAATCTTTTTCTCTAAATAAGCACAACATTTTATTCAGGAAGGCTAGACTTACAAAGGTTGACTTGTAATCAAAATAAAATAATAAAAATTAATTATTTGATTAAGAAATCAGAAAAAAAAGATTGGTTCTAGAACCCTCTAAATAGATGTATTTGTATTTTCATCATCCAACACACATCAACTTCATTATCAAGTTCAAACAATGCTGGGGGTTGGTGTCCAACACCCAACACTTCAAACCATTGACAGGTAGTTACAGAGAGGGCTGGTGGTCTTTTCCAGTTGCTACTACCCTGGACATTTCTAAGTAGCATAAGTAGCATTGCACTAAAAATAGTATGTCACTGGGCAGATTTCAAAACTCAGTGCTCCTGAACATATAATTTACTTTCTCAGTTACAAATTAAACACATATCCAAGTGTGTAGATTAGGTAAACTTTGATCACTTACCACTCATGACATAGATCTACTTTCCAATGACTATTAAACTTTGTGTATATCACTATCCTAGTAGCATAGTAAGGTAAGACTAAATTCTTTTCTGATTCATCACCTCTATCCACGTTTTTCAAATGTGATAACTAGTAATAGGTTGTTTTCGTAGCTGTCACACATTAAAACAAACCCAAATAATTCTATAAATTCAAATTGATTCTTCCAATAAACTATACACAAAACCTGTTAGACAATATAGATTCTACCTTACAGAAACCTTAAGAGAAGTCAGGAGAACTTTCTGGCATTCCTTGGAAGATCTCTAAGTCAAAGCAGACATTCATAGATTTTAATGGCTTGGAATATAAAATAATATTGTTTGCTCTATAACGTAATAGTATGTCACCTGTCCTTTCACTTTTTGTCCAGCCCAAATTACCCTATGTTAGTTACTCCCAATCATCAAGTTTAATTTTAAGCCAACAAATTGCATAGCAGAAAGCAAGGTCTTACTGGTACATCTTACAAATAGTTATAACAGGCTACAGTTAACTAATAGTTAATCAAGTATTAGTAACACTGAAAAAGACTTCAGTTGCAGCTCTAAAACTTTTCAAGAAACAGATCACATCTACCAGTTCCATCAAAACAACTCATCTGTACTGAAAAATAATCTGCCCATACATATTCCTTCCAAAGAAAGTTCCCAGTCCCTTCTTCCTATTGATAAATAACAAAAAAAAATTACTGAAATATGAAGTTTCCTGTGGTTGAGAGAGGAGAAATCCAGGACTTAGCAGTTCTTCGGCTGAAAATAGCGTCAGCATATCAACAGGTGCAGAAGTCTGTTAAGAAAGGAAAATCCCACCTTGTCCTCCTCCTAAAAGATGGCTGCACACATTGCCCTGTGCAGGCCGTTGCAGAGAAATTTTGTCTTCGGCAGCCTCTTGTTCTTTTGGCTGTTTCCTAGAATAGAAGAGCTCGTAGTTCTTGGGAAAGGCAGCCTACAACTGCTCTTGTTTTCTTTTAAAAAACAGCCTGAGTAACCGTTCTGCTGAGAGGCAGAATGAGGTCATACTTCCTGTGGGGCTCATGTCAGTGGCATTCACGCTGAGGAACATGGTGAAGATGAAAGCTGTCTCCTGGACCAGCAGTGGGGGGTGAATCAGACCCGCTGGATACATCACAGTCACTCGAGGGTTGCTCTCCTGAGCTAACTCGTCATCCCAGCTGTGAGAACATAAGGAAAACTTTCAGACAAGCAGCACCTTGCTTATCATCTTCTGGCTATTTTCAGTATGAGTGTAGTACATAGTAGTGCTTTGTCCAAATCATTACTGGTGATCATGCACTGATGCTATTAAATTAAGAATACTATCAAGTACCAGAGCTTGATCTTCTGAAAATGTCTGCAGTGCCAGTAGGTTGATCCACCAAAGGCTGGACTTTCCAAGAATCTCTGTGAGTGGCATTCAAAATTTTATATTTATATGTTTGTAGAGCTAAAGAGCTGGATGCTACTGTTGGGTCCCTACAAATCTCTGCTATTGTCAGTGATAAAAGAAATAGGCATTCCAGCAACACTGAGATGCATTGGGTAATGGAGAGTCACACAGACTGAGATTCAAACCCTGTCTGCCATAGTAGCTGTGACCTCAGATTTATGACTTAATCTCTTTGAGTTGTAACTTTCTCAATTATAAATATAATGGCTTGGCGCATTAAATGAGATAAAAATAATGAGAATTGAGTCCTTAGCTCAGATGTGCAAGATGGATTCCTTATTTGTTTTCTGTAAATCAACTTCCCTTCTGAGGCACCAGTCGTCAGGCTGGCAGAAAAGTTAATCTCATTCTTTCTTGGGGTTTCCTCTCCCCCTGAGGTTATGGCCAAAGGCAGGGAGGGTCCTCTGTAGAACACCCCCAGGCAAGGGAAGCTGTTAGGAGGCGAACGCATCTAGTCTGTGGTAGGCAGTTTTTAAAGATGGCCCTCAAAGGTCCTTACGGAATTCCCTCCCCTTGAGTGTGGGCTGAAGCTAGTCATTTGCTTCTTCTGAACAGAATAAGACAAAAGGTGATGGGTTGCCACTACTATGATTAGGTCACAAAAGATGGCAGCATCTGTCTTGCTGGGCTCTCTGTAACCTTCTGGGCTTACACACTTGGATGGAGCAAGCTGCCATGTTGGAGAAGCACATGTGGCAAGGATCTGAAAGTTGTCTCAAAATCCAGTGAGGAACTGTGGTCCTGAGTCCATAAGCCAAGAATGCAGCCAACAACCACTGTGAGCTTGAAAGTAGGATGGTGGTTGCCAGGGGCTGGGAGGAAGGGGAAACAGGGGAGTGTTGGTCAAAGGATACAAAGTTTCAGTTATGAAAGGTGAATAAGTCCTAGAGATCTACTGAACAGCATAATACCTGAGGTAGCAATAGAGACTCTTCATTTGTAACCAGCTCCAGGTGAAAACGCTGCCGGTTCATGGACTGTTTTTTGATGGGCAGGATGCTAGTGAATGCATTTTGGGCAATTCTAATATAACTTGGTGCGTGTGATGAATTAATTTAAAAATACTATAAACAATAAATAAGCACACCTGCATCCTTATTTAAATCCTTCAAGTACTCATGATCTCCCTTCCTACCTAAGCCTCACCCGCCTCTGGTATTCTGTGTTCCATTAAATGGCATCGCCTTCCATTCTACTGCTCGGGTCAGGAAAGTAGGAGGACTCAACACTATCCCCTCTGTAGCCCCTGAATGAGACACTCTCTCCATCTCCACTGTCAGCTCTGGAGCTCCAGAGGCCACCTTCTCTTGTCTGGACTTTGCTACCAACTTCCTGTCACCAGCGTCTCTCCGATATATTCTCCAAGCCACAGCCAGCATGATCTCTCTGTGTAAATATCTAATTACGTTGCTCCTCTGATTACATCCTTCAGTGGTTTGCCTTTGCTCCTCTCTCACATCAGGTTCAAGATCTCTTGTAATACCTACAGGGTCCTGTGGGCTCCAGTCCTACCTATTTTCCAGCCTCTTCCCTTTTCCTCACCACACCCCATCTTCGTAGAATTCAACCACTTTTTTTCAGGTTCTCGAGCTTGGTTCTACCTCAAGCTTTTTGAACACGCTATTTCCTTTGCCCCTTGCCATCTCCTTCCCCAGCCTCTGTCTCTACTGTTCATCTTTTAGGTGCAAATAGTTCTTTCTCTGAGCAGCCTCTCTGACCTCCCAGATCAGGTTCTAGGTCTCACAGCTGAGTGTACTTTCCCTTTGGAACATGTATCACAATTGCGGTAAATGGACCAGGTTTTTATTGATATTTATCTTTCATGCTATACTGTGAGCTTTGGGAGAATAGGAACCATGATTTTCTAGTTTGGTATTGTGGTTTCTATGTTTGGCATCATGTCTGGTGCACAGTAGGCACTTAATAATGAATGAATAGGATTTGACACCTTCTAAGTCTGGCTGGGCTCTTTGCCACATAGCACAGAACTTTATGGGGGCCAGAAGAAGATATATATGGGCCAACGCCTGGAAAGACTAATGATCTTAGTCTTAGAAGGAGACGGAGGGCAGCCATTGTATCACAATTATGCTATAGTAAAAGTCAAAGCCCAAACCTTAGCGGCTTGGAGCAATAATCAGGTACCGTCCCACGTGGTGGCTTTATGTGTCAATGTGGGTAAGCTGACCATATGTCCCAGAATTCCCTTTCTTCCCGGAATTCCCTGGTTAGGATGGGCCACAAGTGCAGTTAGTGCAAGAGTTGGAAAGTGAGAATGCATCAGGAGCCATGGTGGTCCTTGGAAGGTCCATGTGGCTCAGGCTTCGTTGCTACTCCTACAAATTTTCACAGATCTGCTGGCTCACTGCATGGACTGGGCCCAAAGCTCCAGTCCCTGTGGGACTGCTTTGTTCAGCTTCCCAAATCCTGGTCTAGAAGTGAGTGTGTCTCCACAGCAGGGCATCCACGGCCATGAAGTTGGAGGTTTAGAGATGGGAAGAGGCCAACGTGGGTTTCAGTGATAGACAGAGTCATGTTCCAGCTGGTTCTTCAGGGATTCCAGTGGTCCCCACTCATCCCGCTTCCTTTGATCCTGAGTAACAGTCCTACAATGTCAGGTTCAACACCCCTGGAACAGCCAAATAGACTGAAACTCTCTCGCCAGTGTCTAAAATTGTCTAAGACTCTCCTCTCCCTCAAAAACCTAACACAGAGAAACTATAAAAATAGAATATGTATATCTAACATAATTTCAGAGGGCCCGGAACACTCTTGGTTCACAACCTGGCCCCCATACACAGAGGGCAAGGAGACACCAAAGAAAGAGGCAGAGAACTCCAGGTTGGTATGTGTCAGGTTAAATAAACAAGGGAACTTACCTGTGAGGCTTGTCTTGGGCGCTGCAAGATGAGTAGATCTCTGCACGCACTTGCGTGAATCTGCAAACTTTATATAGAGGTTTTAAGGGGGTTCAGTCTCGTATTCAGTCCAGATGGTCCCAACAACATCTTACTCTCTCAAGGCTTCATCCTTGAAAATGGCTCCCACTGCCGGAACAGCAGGCAGAACAAACATTCCCAAGACAGGGGAGAGGTTGAGGAGCCTCCCATTAGCCAGGTCCAGCCCACGGGCCACCCTTTGGTCACGTCCTCTCCGTGACCTCCTCCAGCAACCACGCATTCCCTGTAGCATCTTTATAAGCAAACAGTAAGCAGCATGATTTTTCTTCCTATTGTGAAGATGATCAGTTGCCTATGTTTACACTGTTCATTTCGGTAACTCACACCCTTCTGCTAGCCAGCTGCCGGATCAGTGGTAAACAACTGGCAATAGGGTTTTCTTTTTCAACATATATTCAATCACACTGCATTTTCACAGACTTTGTGTTGTCACCCTTAAAGAAGATTCTTTCCCTTCTAAGAGCAATTCCCTTAAATAGCAATAATAATTATATCTGCAAAAGTAAAATAAAGTCATCTAAGATTCAATGCTTACTTTGAACAATTACGTATTCTACATCATTCCTGGTGGTTCTGCTTCTTTGCTTGAATCTGACCAACACATCTTGCCCTATGTTGCCTGCAAGTTGGCTATAGCCCTGTCCCTCATGACTTTATTCCAGAAGCCAGGCTGGAGGATCAGCCCCTATGAGGGACATGTCTTTCTCAACGCAGAGAGGGAACAAAAGAGCTGGCAGAAGTACGTAAAGCCTCTAAAAACTTCTCTTCAGGGCCGGCATCTGAAATTTCCACTCATACTTTATTGGTCAAAGCGGATCGTGTGGCCAAGCTCAAAGTCAGTGGGGTAAGTATACACCTCCGTGGGGAGGCACTGCAAGTCACAGGGCAATGAGTGGAGACGGGAGCAGACGTATGTAGAGGGGCAAGGGAATAACTTGAAATAAGTATGTGATTTGCAGTCCTCCATCTCTGTCCTAAATATTTACCTCCCTCTCTCACTTTCAAAAATGCTGAGAGGATGTATTTCCAAAGAGGATACCCCCCAGTGCCATTCAATCATGGCAACAGATTTCAAATCTAGAGTCTTCTAATATTTCTATATTGATTCCTTTTGATATGGAGATTTCTGAACCACCTTGCCCCCTACACCCAACATTCAATACTGGAAGAGGGACAGAATAATTTCCACCCAAACTTTCCTGTTTAGAAAGGGGCATAATGGCAGACACACAGCAGTGGCTGTTGCATGGAAATCCTGTAACTGAATGGTCAGACACTGCAAGAGTCCTACACCCTGTGGATGGAAAATGCTCCTGATAAGGCCCTGATTCTGCTCCCCGGGTGGGGCAACCCAGGCAACTGTTTTGTGGCTCCTGCTTCACCCTCTGGAAAGTAAAATTCACTCCTTTTCCTTACTCTCCTTGGCTACCTCTGGAGATAAGAGAATATGCTTTCCTCGGCAGCTGAGCAACTTTCTCAGCCTACTTTCGTTCCTGGAAGTTGGAAGGTGGAAGAGGTCCTTTGAAGCTTTAAATTGT